ACAGATGGAAGCAGGGTAATTGTTGTTATAGGGAGAGGAGTGCAATCATTGAGGTTAAACAAAACATATGGTTGGTTGAAAGTAAAAAAACAAACAAACAAAAAACAAAACCCCAAAAAGGATCATGTAAAACCATAAATATTAGTTGTTTTTGTTATGTGCTGTGGAGTTGGTTCCGACTCATAGCAACCCTGTACAGGGTTTCTGAGGCTGTAAATATTTATGGGAGCAGAAAGCCTCATCTTTGTCCCATGGAACAGCTGGTAGTTTCAAACTGCTGACCTAACGATTCGCAGCCCGATTCATAACCACTACACTACCAGAGCTCCTTAGCTTTTTAAATATAGGAATACCTGTGGCCAGCAAGTAGATTCGGACTCATAGTGACTCTAGAGGACCGAGTGGAACTGTCCCATGGGGTTTCAAGGCTTTGGTATGGTGTTGTAGGATAAAACACTGGACCATAACGTTGGTTCGAATCACTAGATTGGCAGTTCAAACTCACCAGCCTCTCCTCGGAAACCCTATCCAGGGTTGCTATGAGTCAGAATCAACTCAACTGCACTTAACAACAACAACAACAAAATCTTTATGAAAGCATACTGCCATGTAATTCCTTGGAGAGCAGCTAGTGGGTTCAAACCACCAATGTATCTATAACCAGCTTGAGCCCTTAGCCATGGCGGCAGCAGGATCTTCAAATTTTTGCCAGAGTTCTATATCTCAACAATAAGTTATGAGTTTTTGTGGATCATTTCAAATCATCATACTCCCTTATGCTGATGTACAGATAAAAGACTTTTATTCTGATATAATCATTGGAAACAATAATGTGATTACCTAATGGGCCACATTATCTAAAGAACCATCTGTGCTAGAAAATATATCAAAGAATGATGTTTGTAAGACTGCAGTTCAGCGCTGGCCTAGAGTAAAGCAATTGTTCTGATACTGTGCTAACATGATAACAACAAGTCAAGAGATCCTCAGTAGTGGTGATGCCGTAGACAAGACGCTGGCTTCAGAATGACAAGGTGTAAAGTAGGCTCGAGCACAGATCCGATATGTTGCTTCAGGTCATGAATATAATAAAACTAGCATAGTGGTTACGAATCGGGCTGCTAACCTCAAAGTTGGGAGTTTGAAACTACCCGCTGTTCCACAAGACAAAGATGAGGCTTTCTGCTCCTGTAAAGATTTACAGCCTCGGAAACCCTGTGCAGGGTCACTATGAGTCGGAACCGACTCCATGGTACTTAACAACAACAACAACATAATAAAACTGAGACTTAGTCAGTCTTCTATCAAATGTATATATAAGGGCATACATTCTACCTTTCTCAAAATGTATTGTTGTTGTTTGTGAGGTACCGTTGAGTCAGTTCCAACCCATAGAAACCCTGTAAAGGGTTTCTGAGGAGGGGCTGGTGAGCTTGAACCGTTGACCTTGTGGTTCAAGCTGACTTTGCAGTCCAGTGCATTAACCCACAGCGCCACACCAGGACTCCTCAAAATGGTGGCTGTCAAGTGAATCTCATAAAGTGCTTTAGTTATAATGATCACAGTCACTTATAATACATATTGTTGTCTACTCAGGACTGATAGAAGGATAATTTTGGTTCTAAGGAGTAACTAATCAAATATGATTTTTTAAAGAACAGACCTATTCAGATTTGGTTTGTATCATAGAATTTCAGTTTTCTTAGAAGATGAGCAGTGGACTCTACTCAGCAGTGCTTAATTTCCCCCCCTCCCCATTTCCTCTTTGAATTAGACAAGGAGAATGGATAACTTGCACAATAGGTTTAGAAATTTTCATTCGATGTTGGGAGCAAAGGTACTGTAACTAATTTAAAAATTCTAACTCTAAAATCTGAATTGATGGATTACTCAGATTGCATCGAGACAGAGATGATGAAAATGGTCAAAGAAACCAAATGTAGGGTGTCTTTGACATAAGCTTTCTTAAATACATGCTCCTATTTGTATTCCAGATACGTCTCACTACAGTCCTGCTAAAGCATGTCTCATGAAATGAAGTGTAAGCAGCTGTTAACTAAATAACACCAATGTGTAAGTCTCACAATCCTCCCTTCTGAGAGCTTAATACAATAAGAATAGGTAATATTTATATGGCAATACTAGCAATTATATTGTTTTCATATCTTGGTAGTGGTGGTGGTGGTGGTGTGCTGTGGAGTCAGTTCTGACTCATAGAGACCCTCTACAGGGTTTCCAAGGCTGTAAATCTTTATGGGAGCAGAAAGCCTCATGTTTTCTCGTGGAACAGCTGATATTTTTGAACTACTGACCAACTTGTAACCATTACGCTACATTAGTTTACTTAAATTTACATGAAACATATAAAGAAGATGACAACTTCCTTCTCATCTTTGAAAGGGGTGTCTGAGTGCATCACAGAGTTGTTCCAAAGGCCCAGTACAGGTGTGGTGCAGTGGCAGGCATACCTCAGCAAGTCTGAGTCCAGCATCCTACTCCTCAAACTGCTGTGCTCACTCTTTCTAGTAAGTCCTGTCAGAGAGAACTCTTATAACCATACTAAATCTAATAATATATAAAAACTTCATTTATAGAAGATTATTATGTTTATTTTATTTTTGGAATTAGGTGAATTTCCTTACAAAAGTTGCTAAACTTAAAGCTTGAAAAAACTTCCAAATTATCAGATCATTACATCAAATGTATATCCATTAGAAAAGCAGCTCTTTGTCATGGCTCCATTTGTAACAATTTAACTCTGAGGGATCCTATATATAATAGGTCCCAAGGAGTTCTGGTAGTGTAGTGGTTACAAATTGGGCTGCGAACTTCAAGGTCAGCAGTTCAAAACTACCAGCTGTTCCATGGGAGAAAGATAAAGCTTTCTGTTTCCGTAGTGATTTACAGCCTTGGAAACCCTATACAGGGTCGCTATGAGTTGGAACTGACTCCACGGCACATAACCACCACCACCACCCAAGGGAAATGCTATTAAGACAGTCACTTTTGGACTCCTGGCTTCTGAGGTGATCTCATTCTTCAGTATCAGGGAGCCTTTACTAGGACTGCTAACATTACAAAGCCACTGCTAAGCATGCTATAAGCAAGCCCCAATATCCCACTGCCCAGCTCCCATCCAAGACAGAATTTGTAATGTGCTTTGCCCAAGTAATTTTAGACAACTGAACTCATGTCAGATTCATGACAACCTATGGAAAAGATGTGTAGTAGTGTGCAAAATTTTTAAAGATTTTATGCATGAGAGGGAGGAATAAATCTGCTCTAAAGACCACACATAATACAGCTCTCTCTTTCTCCCTCCTCCTTCACTTTCTCTCTCTTTTCCTCTGTCACTTCCCACCTCAGTACTTCTCTCTTCCTATTTTCTTTTAGCCTG